ACTTGTGTCTCTCCCTCTTGCCGGAAAAGCAAAAGCTTTCCACAATTATTCCCACCTGCCCCAAGCAGTGGGTGATACTTCTCCTCACCTCTTAAGGGAAAGAACTGCGTCATATAAGAACGTCTAGCTGCAGGAAATTCTGAACAATTTAGGAAGGGACTGTTATAATGGAATCAGCCTAATTATGATCCATAGTCTCGTGCCTTCCTGAAGAAAACCAAGATTCCTTTTGCAATATATAAAGGAGGAATGAATATATGTATGTATGTGCATATATATATATATATATATATATATATATATATGATAGAAAATGAATGAATCTGCTTAAGCATCCTGTTGCTCTTTTGGTGACATCATGAGTCACTTATGTGAAAGCCTGCAGTCATCCTTTATCTTGCAATAGGCTAGAATCTACCCTACCACCAAGTTTTAGGCTCCCATGTACCATAGTAAACTCCTACTCCATTTCAAAAATTGAATATTTTATAAATGAATAGGAGCAGAGATTTGATCCCTTGATTCCCTAAATACACATATTCACTCAAATTACCCTTGCAATTTGAAGCACAGTATTTGGTAGATTGTCAAATCAAACAGGTAACAGGCCTGCTGTTTGGTTATTACAGGAGTTAGCATCTGGGCTGTCTTTGTAATTGCACATCCTATCATTGCTCCAGATATCAAACAATAAAATCTTTCCCTTTCCCACACTCTACAATGCAAACAAGGAGCAGGAGGATGGGAAGGGGGAAGAATATTTCTCTTAGTTTTAGGGAATCTCTAAGCTAAATTATAAGTGGCTAGTCCTACCTCTGATACCCAGCCAATGCTGTCTGGCTCTTATTTTTAACCTCTCATTTTGGGAGTGGATTTGGGGTATCCTAATCCAGACTCTTTGAGATGGGATTTCTTATTTTTAATTGCTGACTTACACAGGTTATCTTTATAAAATAGCTCTCGATCTTTGACTCATCTTTTAAGATTTGTGAGAAACTTTTTCTCTTTTTGTTTAAGAGTGTAGGAAAAGCCGGGTGCAGTGGTGCACGCCTGTAATCCTAGCAGCTCAGGAGGCTGAGGTAGGAGGATCACAAGTTCAAAGCCAGCCTCAGCAATAGCAAGGCACTAAGACAGTCTGAATAAAATATGAAATTGGGCTGGGTTTGTGGCTCAGTGGTCGAGTGCCCCTGAAATCAATACCTGGTATCAAAAAGAAAAAAAAACATATAGGAAAAACAAATCTTTAGACCAGGGCTGGGGTTGTAGCTCAGTGGTAGAGTGTTTGCCTAGCATGTGTGAGGTACTGGGTTCAATTATCAGCACCACATATAAATAAATACAGTCCATTGACAACTAAAAAATATTTTTAAAAAATCTCTAGGCCAATCCATACACATTAAAAGGTGGCTAGGGGATGGCATTTCTGACAAAGTTCTGAGGGATCCTATCAATGAGGTTTGGAGGTTATGCAGCTTCAGAATCTAAGGAGGCACAGTGACAGGAGTCCCTAACACATAGAGCCCGGTGTTCCCCTTTGACCTGGCTTGATGCTCAGAGGAGCCAGGTAGGAGCTGGTGGTGGCAATGTGTACCTGGGTCAGCTGGGTCTGCACTGTGTGGGCAGATAGAGCCCCAGGAGATCAGGCAGCAGGTAGAGATGGAACAAGCACTTTCCCCATTAATGCTGGGTGCTGGAGAGTTCAGGGAGCCATTCACCAGGTACTGTGGCCTCGTACCCAGGGCTGAATAGAGGCAACAGGGCAATGAAATCCTGGTTACCAGAGAAGATAAACAGGCGTCATGGCATGCCATGGAGAGAGACCTCACCACTCTGATGGTAGGAAAGGCAGCATGGAACCCAGAAAAAGAGCCCTCTGGGAATAGCCAGGATAGGGTTCTCCAGAGAAGTAGGAACCAAATACTGTGTGTGCGTGCGTGTGTGTGTGTGTGTGTGTGTGTGTGCGTGTATAAAGAGATTTACTACAAGGAATTGGCTCACACCATTACAGAAGCTGACAAGTCCTAAGATGTGTAGTGGACAAGCTGAAGACCCAGGAGAGCTGGTTGTGCAGTTCTAGACCAAAGACCTGCAACTTTAAAACCAGTGTAAAGGCTAGAACAACATGGATGTCCCAGCTTACAGGCATTCAGGCAGGAGGAGTTCTCTCTTACTCAGTTTTTTTCTTTTTTTTTTTGGTCCTAATAAGACCTTCAACTGATTGAATGAGGCCCACCCACATCAGAGAGGGCAATCCACCTAACTCAGTCTACCCATTTGAATGTTATTCTCATCCACAAGCACTTTCACAGGCACACCCAGAATAATGTATGACCAATATCTGTGTGCCTCATGGTATCATCAAGTTGACACATAAAATTAACCATCTCAGCCAGTGTGTTTTATCCTGAGAGGAATCCAAGAGTCCAGGAAGATACACCCAAGGCAAATAACTTATGGATATAGTCACATAGTGTGGACTCTACAAGGGGTCACCTCCCCAGCAAACACTTAAAACATAAGATCCTTCCCTCACCAGGAAAGTTCCCATGGCCAGAAAAGTATAATCCCTGGCTTCCATGTCCCGGAGGGAGTAGAGATCACTGAGCCATTAGTGGCCCTGGCCAGGACAGCCTCCGTTCCCATAGGCGGCTGTGGGCCAGGAAGGGCCAAACCTGCACCTCTTGAAGGTGTATGGGGTGGCTGGCCAGTGCCTCTTGGAAGTGGGAGACTGGTCAGGCCAGGCTTGTCCCTGTCCTACCCATTCCAGGTCCACTGAATAATTCAGAGGCCTTTATGGCATGGTGATTTGGTTTTCTGGTTCCAAAAAACACCCAAGAAAAAATGGGAATCTCTGGCCCTTGGATAGACATCACGGCTGAAATAAGGATCCTCAAATTCCACAAGATTTAATAGTTGTTTTTCTCCAGAACAGTAATTAGGAGCTGGTGATAGCAGATGTTTGAAGGTTCATTTTGAAAGAAAGAGTCCAGTCTCTTCTAGAGCTCTTCTCTTCTAGAGACCTGGCAGCTAATGAGGAGGCTGCAATGGTCAGAGGCCAGTCAGAGTGAATGAGACCTCAAGTCCAGAATGACATCACTCTCCTCCCATGCACTGACTTTAGAGTCTGTCCTGCTTCTTGGACTCCCCACTCAAGGAAGTCCCAGGGTAGAAGACAGACAGGTATGTAAATAATAGTAAATAAATTAACAAGGTATTATACCTCCTTGATAAAACTCAACTTCAGGGGGAAACCCTGTGACACCAGGGTTAATGCTCATAATTCAAAAGGACACTGAGATCCTGAAGCTTAGAAAAGAGCCAAGTGGAGAGGGACACCTGACCGGTGCAATGTTCTTGCAGTAATGGACAAAGCCAACTTGTAGCAAGCCTGCAAGGGTGGAACCCCCCCACCCCAAAAAAATACCCACAGCTGATTTTTACTCCCTTCCGCGGATTCTGGTTGTTGTTATTGTTCCTTGATCGCCATTGGCCAAACCCAGTGAAGCCAGAGAACATTTTGACTTTGTCAGGCTTCTGAGGAAGAAGAACAGAGAAAGGTGGAAAATGAATATGGACTGGTACCCAGAGAGCCAGCAAAATATCAATAATTTTCAAAGGCAGTAGGAATGCGAGGAGCCCCTTTCAATTACTTGTTCCCCCTGTTTTGATCACAGAACATCTACTCACTCAAAACAGGAAATCTAGACCACACATTACTGAATCCAATGTCAAGTTGCATTCCCAGGAAGAGCAATAGGGTTATGTGGTTAGCATGCCAACAAGATCAACTTTGAAAAAATATTGCCTTTTACTAATTTATAACTTTAATGTTCTTTCATCCTTATCACAAAGCAAAGGCAAAACATTTCTGTTGTAGAACAATTTAAAATATAGATAAGCCAAAAGGAGAAAATAAAACTGTCTTGTAATTCCAGGTTAGCAATAACCACTGCTAATATTATGGGATGTTTTTCAAGTGTCTTAATCTTACCTTACATGTGTATTTATATATTTTCCAACTTTTATTTTGACATAATTTTAGACTAACAGAGAAATTGCAATAATGATACACAAAATTCCAATGCTCCTTTCAAAATCACTCTCCAAATGTAAAGAATTTACCACATTTACCTTACTTACCTCCCTTTACATATACGTATATGTGTGTCTGTGTAACACAGACACACATAAATATAATTTGTATGTACATATATGTGTATCTTTTTCCCTAAATCATTTTAGAGTAATCCACTTTAAATTTTTAACAAAAGCAAGTTGGGCCAATAATCTCTAAACCATCACTATCTCCAATTTTAATAAGCATTGCCCAAAATTAACAATAAGAGAACAAGAAGGATACAGAACTCTTATCAAGAAATCTCCATCAGATCAGAACATACTTAGCTAGAAAGTGAGCACCCACAGATTTTGTAAATACCTGGAGTGTGATCGCCATCCTGAGACAGACTAGGAAGGGTCCTGTTTGAAAAATGCCCAGTCATGTTCCTATTTGGGAGTGAAACTTTTTAAACTGGGGTAGCCTAAGAGATCCTAGGTAGCCCTTCAAGGGCTCAGGGAGGAACTTCAAGGTTACCTGTGAGGGGCTTTCTGGAGATACTAAGGTAGATCATAGGCAACAGGACAAGGATCTTCCACTTCAGGGACATTGTTTCCTGGCATCCCATCTAATTTAGAATGTAGTCGATCATTTTGGAGACATCAGTTCCAGGTGTCCACTTACAAATGCTCCTCCGTATAGAAGACAGAGGGAACAGGTTTGAAATTAGTCATTCTGGCCAGGGCGTAAACAATCTCCCCCGCAGTGGAATCACTAGGGAAAAGATAGAAATTAAGGCCTTCTGTTAGCTGTCAGGTGCTGATTTGGGACTGGGTTAAATAATTTTTTCAGGCATAGAACATCACCTTGAGTCTTGGCATAAAATAGAGCCAGATGCTAAAGTGCCTTGCTGGTTTGTCATCCCCAGAGACGTGCAGCCAGGATGGTCAGATTGTCCACGCTTCTGAAAGCTGAACAGGACAGACTTAGCAACAGAGTCAAAGCACTACAGATTGACATTAAGCTGCAGGTCAGTGGAAAGTGAGCCAAGAGACTCCAACTCAGGCCTCTCAAGGACAGGGCAGGACTATCTGATTCCAGACTTGGCCACTCAGCCCTGGTTTATTTGTTTGTTTTTTTGTTTATTTATTTAGCAGTCTTGGGTATTGAACTCAAGGACACTCTTCCACTGAAGTCCTCCCCAATCCTTTTTTATCTTTTTGTTTTGAGGCAGGGTCTCACTAAATTACCCAGGGTGGACTCAAACTTGCAATTCCCTTACCTCAGCCTCCCAAGTTACTAGGATTACAGGCCTGCACCACTGCACCTGGCTTGGCCCTATTTTTAAAGAGAAATTCTGTTTTCTTCCTTACAGACTGAGATTTTTTATAACTTAGGAGACTCTTTCTTTCTTTCTTTTTTCTTTTTGTGGTGCTGGGGTTGAACCTAGGGCTTTGTGCATGCAAATCAAGAACTCTACCAACCAAGCTGTATCTCCAGCCCAGGAGACTCTTTCTTAACCAATAAGAGAAAAACTCATTTTAACATAGTAATTCCTAACAAAGTGATTTTCATTTATTTTATTTGTTTATTTAATTTGAAGAAAACTATCCATGTCCTGTGAGAGAGGCTGCTAGGTGGCACTCCAGGTGAATGGAAGGACCACCAAGGGACCTGCCCCTACACCTTGAGATCAGGTAGAAAATGTAAAGGGGAGATAATATGGTTGGGCTTAAAAAGAGAGAGAGAGAGAGAGAGAGAGAGAGAAGCAGCCACGATTATTCCCTCACCAAGTCCCTGGTTTCTAGGAGAAACAGCATGTGGAGGTCTCCTAAAGCCTGTGGGCCCGAGTTAGTTGCAAAGGGTGAATGGGATCTGGGGCTACATCTTGCTGAAGTTGCTACCATGAGGCACAGATGTGCACACACATGAGGAAGGGGACGTGTGGATCCCAGCTGGAAGGTAGCCATGGGGAGAATGGCTGGGGTAGGGGGTCTGCTGTGCAGCCTGTTGGAACCAGCACCTTGTCCACACCAAATCCATGGACACTGAACCAATAAGAGGACCTTACTCTCTCCACAGGCAATCCCACAAGAAATTCCCTTGCTATCCCTCTTCCCTGCTCCATCCTCCAAGGGGCCCGTGTAGGGGGCTATACTGCCTCTCTCCACTCTAAGCTGCCAGAAACTAGGTTTGTTAAGGGGCTTAGGGGGATGCTTTAAAATTATATAAGATCTAAGTTGTAAAATGAACAGCAAGGAGTTATAAGAACTGAAAATGATTGTTACAATAGATGAAAGTTATTGGAAAATATTGAATTGATAGGAAGGGGAATTTCAAAAGAAAACAGATAATAGTAGTCACTGGGGGAAAATTTTTCACTTTATACCAATAGTTGAGAATCTTCTCTGAGACAATGACATTACATTACATTACATGTGCAGACATTTATCTCCGCTCCCTGCTAAGAAAGTTGGACTCCATCCACGCCCTGCCCTCGGTTCTTGCCCTTTTAGCACGGGAGCAACTATATATATAAAGATATTGTATTACTGAATGAACACTAAAGCCAAGGATGATGCAAATGGGAGACGATGCAGGGAAGGCAAGGGAAACACGCTCCCGGCCAGAGTGTGTCTTCCATGTGGGAAAAAGCACAATCCCATTTATGGTTGAAGGGATTCAGTGTGACTTATCTGCTACCACTTGTCTGACTGGGAGGGCTGAGCACTGGTTGCTGCTCATGGGTTGTTAACATGAAAAGGAAAACGGATCCATGTTATTAAGACTCTTCATAAAACTCCATCTGCCATTAATACACTGTGTTCATGAGCCCATGAAACAAGTTCTCAATGCTGGGAAAGAGGCCGGCTGACATCTACAGAGCAGGTCATTTTATCTACCTGATACTTCAGCCTGCTCTGCAAAAAGAGTCTTTGACGGACAGTCACGTGAAACAAATATTCTTACATTTGGGGATTGTTCAGAGCAGTGCATTCATGGGTTCACTATCACTCAGGATCTAAGCAGAAACAATGGTACACATAAATTAAGATATTTCAAGGAGGCAAAGAGACTTATTTATAAAAGGCCACATATAGAGAAACCACAAAGGACAGTATAGTACCCTAGTTTGTTTTACCATGCCAGACTCCAAAATCAGAGGGAAAGAGAAATTTCCAGGACCCAGAAGGAGAAATTCAAGCGGAGGGCCACCTAGAGAAAAGCTATCCCATTCAGTTGAGATGCCCCAATAGGGAGAAGTCAGAAGAGGAATAATCTCCTTATTCCACTTATTTCCTGTTGGGGTTCCTATTTACCAAACCCAACCAAAAGCCATAGGACAAAGAGAGTGGACCAAACAGGTTAGTGTCCCAAGCAGAGAGCAAATGGGCAGACATGGAAATGAGTGGATTGAGCGAGGCACACAGGAGGTAGTCAATACGTAATTCTTCAAACAGCACTTATCAAATCACCTACTATGTGCAAAACACTATTCTGAATGCTGAGGACAGAGCAACCAAAAAAACAGACAAAGCCCTTAACTTCATGGAACTGTAAAGCAAATAAGAGACCTTCCTAAAATATGTAGTCTATTGAATATTCATAGGTAATAATGAAATGATACAACAGGAAATATTGCATGAGAAGGAACTAGCACCCTTTTAAATAAAGTAGCAGAGGGGGCTCTGAGAAGACCTGAAGGAGAAAAGGAAGTGAGATTATAGGTTCCTGGGAAAAAGAAACCATGCATAGGAAAGAACAAGGGGAAAAGCCCTGAGAAGTGAGCCTGCCTGGGGAATGTGAGGAACAGAGAGAAGACTAGTGGGTCAAGTGGACTGAGTAAGAGGGTCAGTATTAAGAGATCATCAGAGAGATGAAGGAGTAGGGAGGCAGGGCAGAGGTCAAGCCATGTAAGACTTCATGGGACATCATTAGTGAATTGACAAATTAGTGAGGGCAGGGGATTTGAGCAAAGGGGCAACATGATCTGACTTGTGTCCACAGCTCCATTTTGGTTGCTGTGTTGAGATGGACTGAAGAGGTGAGGGGGAGGAAATGAGCCAGCCGGGAGGATAGTTTAGCAATGTGGCCAAGGCAAAATGATGCCTTAGACTGCTTGGGAGCAGCGCGGGAGGATGGTAAATGTGCTGAAAGATTGGATATGGGTATGAGACACAGAGAGGAAGTTGACTCCAATATTTATTGGCTATTGGTGGAAAAATAGTAATTGCCATTCCTGAGATGGGAAGGATCACAAGAAGTCTAGGTCAGGTGTATATGCGTCACTGAGTAGATATGACAAGACTATTTTTGGATGTGTTGTTTGATATCCAAGAGGAGGTGGGAAGATGTTGTGTGGATATATGAATCTGGATTTTAGGAGGGAGGGAAAGTTTACAAATGCATCTCCCTGAAGACCAAGAAGATGAGTTATGAAAGGTGTGGCCAAGAAGTTAAATAAGATTTGGACTGAAAATTCCCTTTGGAAGAAGTAATGCAGATAAAATTTGTAATAGCAATTTTAGCAAAGTGTTAAGGATGTCTGCTGGCTCAAAGTGGGCTAAAAAGGGGACAGGGACATTGGACATACTACAGACCAATCTTTTGAGAAATTATGTTGTAAGGGGAAGGAAAGAAATGGAGCTATAGCTAGAGGAGGAATGAGCTCAAGAGAAAATTCTTAAAAACAGGAGAAATTTTAAAATCCTTTTTCTTAAACCTTTAATCTTCTTCCTTCCAAGTTCCTATGTGACCAAACCATCAGGCTCCACCTACAAGCCAGTGTGAATCCTCTGCTCAAGCGTTCGTTCATAAGTGAACAAATTGTTCAACTGTTCATGAAATCACAACATACTGTCTCATCTTGAGTACAGAGTAAGGCGTGAGATGATGGGCTTTTCTGCTTGCAAGTCCTACCCATCTGGTCTATTTTCCTATTTTCTTTTCCTTTTTTGTTATCCTTGAGAGGGACGGCAATGCCACTACATTCTGTTTCTGTCTAATACCATTGTGAAGCGCCACCTATATAAACAAGGTTCACATGTTTCCTTCTCAGTTAACTGTTCATAGAGAATTTCTCATGAGATCTGAGCTGAGGCAGGTCTCCAGGATGGCAGAAATTTGTGGGCACAGCTAAAGGGATCTTAGGCGGAAATTGGTATTTATAAATTCACATATCAAGAAATAGAAAAGTCATTCATAAATAAACAGAATATCTAAGTGGCTGAGAAATAAAAATTATTTCAACTTCACTAGCCATCAAGAAAGTGCCAATATGAATACAATCAGGTGCAATTACAAACTAAACCAAAATAGCAAACATGAAAAAAAAATGGAAAACACCAAGTGTCTAAGAAGATGTGGAGCAATTTGAACTCTCACCCATGCTGTTGATAATATAGATGGTACAACCATTACGGGTAATTTTTTGGCTGTATTCACTAAAGCTGAACATACACAAAAGCAGGAAATCTACTGCTCAATATACACTTAATAAAAGTGAGTATTTCCCAGCAGCTCGGGAAGGCTGAGGCAGGAGGATTGCAAGTTTAAAGCCAACATCAGCAAAAGTGAGGCGCTAAGCAAATCAGTGAGATTCTGTCTCTAAATAAAAACAAAATAGGGCCTGAGGATATGGCTCAGTGGTCAAGTGCCCCTGAGTTCAATTCCTGAGGTCCCTCTCACCAAAAAAGTGAGTATATATGTTCATCAAAACTTCAGTTAGAATGTTCATAGTCACACACTCTATAATTGTTTCAAACTGGAAACTATTTAATGCCAATCAGCAACAGAATGGATAAAAAATTGTGGTATATTTTCACTATATAATATTATAAAATGAAGTGAATGTATATACAACTATATACAAAATATGAATGAGTTTCACAAACATAAGTAGGAAACAGAATAGACACAAAAGGATATATAAAATATGATTCTGTTTAAATCAAATACAGAAGCAGACAAAACTAATCTATGCTGTTAGAAGTTAGAAATATTGATTACTCTTGGAGGTGGCTAGCAGGATAAAAATACAT